GTATGTATGTATGTATGTATGTATGTATGTATGTATGTATGTATGTATGTATGTATATGTATGTGAGTAGACGTGTGTATAGATATGTGCACAAGCAAAATAACCAAACACATAAAATTTTTAAAAATAAAAAATACATGTGAAATCTAACTATTATGATGGAAACAACATTCCCCTTATGTAGTAAAAACAAATAGAGTTTAGAGTAAAAGGAAAGAATGCATAAAGGTAAATAAACAAAAAAGAGTGCAAATCAAGAAAGAACACACTTTGGGGGAGCAATCATGCAATTTGGACTTGAGAATTGCCAGGGAACAGATGGCAGTATCCAAGTAGACATCTGCAATGGATAGCAAAATCATATGCAAAGACACAAGTGGCCTTTGAAGCAGGCCCTTGAGAGGCCCACTGAGGAGGCTGTCTGCTTAGCCAAACAGAAGGGCCAAGGCCTTGTTCACTTCGTCATAGTGTTGCCTCCTCAGAGCCCTGCCAGAGACTTGGAGGTTGCAAGAGGGCTCAGAACGGTACAGAGGAGGTTGCAGAAGAAAGAGGTCTCCACTGGTGACACAGGCAAACATAGCAGTTGACATTTACAAAGTACTTCACAGTTTGTAAACATTCTCACACCAATAAGCTAAATATTAGTATTCCATCATCTTTTGTGATGTCCCTATCTCTCTCCCGAGTCTGGTGACTACTATTCCCATCTTACTATGGAAAGGGAAGCATAGAGAAGTGACAGGAATTGATTTGTTTAACATTTGTACAACTCTATTTATCTGTCTATCATCTATCTACCTATCTGTCTGTCTATCTGCCTACCTACCTACCTATCTAGCCATCCATTAAATCAGCCATTTATCTCTATTTTCCTGATTATAAGTAATCAATGTTGTTTAAATATTTTTTAAAATATGAAGATATTCCAGTAATAAATAGAATAGAAAATAAAAATCTCCCACAATCTCAACCTAGATAGTAATTTTTAAATTAATGTGTGCTTTTTTTTCAATTTTTTTTGTTCTTTCTGACACAGTCTCTCTGTGTAGCCTTGGCTGTTTTGGACTCACTTTTTAGACCAGGCTGGCCTCAAACTCACAGAGATTCACCTCCTCTGCCTCCCATGTGCTAGGATTACAGGTGTGCCACTGTGCCCAGCTTCTTTCAGATTTTTTAATACTTTTTTTTTGAGACAGGGAATTACTGTGACTCTGAAGGACTTGGAACTTGATATGTAGATCAAAGTAGCCTTGAACTTGGTTTTGCCTTTTGAGTGCTGGAATTAAAGGCATGTGCCACCATGAACTATATATATACTTGAGTGCCATTTCACAAACTACTCAGCCTTGAAAAGTCTCTCTGTGACTACATGAGTGTACCTTATGTGTTTTCAAACTCTGTTGCATAGAGGGAGCAGTATTTACAACCGTTACTAGCCATTTATTGATACATTCAGAGACTTATAATTTTCTTCATAGTTATCCTTACAGATATGAGTAACTGTTGATAATAAGTGACCATTGAGAGCTCAACCCTAAATAAGATATCTGTGTCACCCCTCCAAGTCCCAGGAAACATCATTGATGAGAGAATGGGGATGCTGAAGGAACTAGAGGATGGAGAGAAGTGAACTTAAGCTCTGTGTTTTGGATATGATATGACTGCAATTATAAACACACAGCAGCTGTGGTTACCTGCATAAGGCTTATACAAATAAAAGGAGGAGGAAAGGAGGAGCATAAGGGGAAGAAGGGGAATAGTTGGAAAGAAGAGAATTGACAGGAGTGGGGAGGGGTCAAGACAGAGTACTGAGAGCAAATGTGATCAGAGCACACTGTATTTGAGTATGAAGTTGTTCAAACTAAAAACATATTACCACCACACAAATATATGCCTGTACCTGCATCTCTGTAAATATATCCCTGTGCATATGTAGAGTTGTATAGAATAAATTGATGGAGTTAAATTTCAAGGTCAAAAGTATTGTACAATTATACACAATAAAAATTGTTACAGACAGTTACAAATTGCTCTTCAAAAATGTTTCTTAATTGGCCCTCCCAGTAGCATCATGTAGGAATGACCCATTTCCCCACAGGCTTGTCAATACTAAGCATTCTTAACTTGTCAAAATTTTAGCAGTCTCTTGTTTTCTCTTTCTTCCAATGTCCATCCCATTTGTCTTTCTAAGTGAGAATTGATCATCTTACCCCGGGTCCTCCTTCTTGTTTATCTTCTTTAGGTGTACAGATTTTAGTATGTTTATCCTAGCTTGCAGGTCTAGTATAAGTGAGTATATACCATGAGCCTACCACAGAGGGCCTCTGAAAGACTATATCTAGGAGTGTATCAAAGCAGAGGCTGAGACTCATAACCAAACTTTGGGCAGAGTGCAGGGAATCATATGAAGGAAGGGAGAGTTAGTAAGACCTGGAGAGGACAGGAGCTTCACAAGGAGAGCAACAGAACAAAAGTATCTCGGCACAGGGGTCTTTTATGAGACTGATACTCCAACCAAGATCCATTCATGGATATAACCTAGAACCCCTGCTCAGATGTAGCCTATGGCAGCTCAGTATCCAAGTGGGTACCCTAGGAGGGGAACAGGGACTGTCTCTGACATGAACTCAGTGGCTGGCCCTTTGATCACCCCCCCCCCCGAGGGAGGAGCAGCCTTGCCAGGCTACAGAGGAGGACATTTCAGCCAATCGTAATGAGACCTGATAAGCTAGGGTCAGATGGAAAGGGAGGAGGACCTCCCCTATCAATGGACTTAGAGAGGGGCATGGAAGGAGATGAGGGAAGGAATGTGGGATTAGGAGGGAATGAAGGAGGGGGCTACAACTGGGATACAAAGCAAATAAAATATAATTAATGTACAAATTTTAAGTACAATTTATTTAGCAATCTAGAGCACTGTATGGTAGCACATACTTGTGTTCCCAGAACAGTGAGGAGTAGAGTGGAGCCAAGAGGATCATAGTTAGATGCCAGCCGCGGCTACATAGTAAGTTCCAGGGCAGCTTGGGCTATATACCAAGACTATATCTCAGAAGAAAATAGTATTTTTTTTTTAAAATTGGTCTACTAGAAAAAATGGTGCATCATTCCTTTAATATGTTTGAAAATAGTGAAATGTTATACTTTTCTTCTTTTATATATTGTTAGTCTTTACATTTCTGATTTTGTAAACTGATCATTCCTTTCATTTGATAACTGGCTTTGTATTAGTGAATCGAAAAGAGGCCCTCAGAGACCGCATGAGATTATGATACGTTCTTTTTAAAGGGTTAAGTAAACTCTAGAGATTTATGTCCACCATAAACTGCACTCTTAAATGATTTGATGTCATTTTATTGAGCTGAACAACAACAATGTTAACCAACAGTAACTGATATCTGGACTTCATGGTGATTTTCATCTTGTGTCTTTAATAATTTATTAGCCACATGATGATAACATAATATAGTCACATAATCTGGGAATAGTAGGAGTTCCTGCACGTGGGCACAGTATATGTGTGTGTGTGTGTGTGTGTGTGTGTGTGTGTGTGTGTGTGTGTGCAAATTTAAAATATGTGTGTGTACACATGTAATCTGAGGATATGTGGAAATGTGTGTGGATAGTCATGTACATATGAGTCTATGCTTTGGAGGATGATGAGTACAGGAATGGAGAGAAATGGAGACATTGCATGGCCACAGAATGACTGGAGACTCATTCGCTATCATCTCTCAGAAACAGGAAAGTGATTACTTCCTGTCAGCCTCTATAATGTGCTGTGTCATCTGTCACTGTTTCGGAGTGGTGGTCCTGATAATACCACCATAAATTAGTGGATATTGGATATAACTGTATTCTGCCATGAAACTGTTGGGGTTGCCTTGGGCTGTGTGGGAACTAGAACTAGATTAATGTTGGAAGATCTTCAGATACTTGTATGCTACCTTGGGACTCTGAGATTTGTAGTGGTGATTGTACTTACACTAAATGGTAACTTATGACACAGGGGCATACTTAATTTCAATTTTCACAAGTACTATAAGATTGATTGTAAAAATACTGTACGACAGCTTGAAAAAGGCTCAGGAAACATTGTGGAAAAAGAGATGGAAAGACGGTAAGAGGCAGATGATGTGAAGGAGTGGTGTGAAATGCTGTCTTCTGGACATGACATGGGTGTTGCATCTATGAACTCACAGCTTCAGTGATGACCTACCCAAGGCTGGGTCCATTAGCATTTCATCACAGATGGAGGAAAGGATCAGAATACCTTCCCCAACCCATAGCAGTTACAAACTGTTAAAAGATATAAAGAGAGGGAGTCAAACTCCTTAGTGGTATAGCCACTGGTACATTTTCCCCACTTGAGCAAATCTATCCCACAAACTCATGCATATAACCCTAATTGAATTCAGTGGGTTCATAAAACATAGACATTAAAGTAGGGATTTGGTGGGAAGGGGAAATGGTTTAAGACAGGATAATAAAACTTTGATCCAAGGACTTTATATATAATATGTAAATAATATATCATTATATATATATAATTTTATATATCATGTATATAAAATTGTAGAAGAATAAATAAAAATGAGTACTAATGAGCTATTTCAGTTATGTTCGAGAAAACTTTGTGAATACCATCTCATTTAAATTTCAAATAATCTTAAAGTACCTTGAAGGTAGGGGCTATCTGGAGTAGATGATAATGTAAATGATGGCTCCTTGTAGAGGAGATATATGACCCTTTAGATTCCAATCTCCATTTCTCTGAAGCAAACACTAAGACTGAGGGAGGTTCAATTTCTTGCTCAAGGTTGGAGAACTGATGAGTGTCAGAGCTAGGGCTTCCAATCCCTCTGAAACTGGTTCTGTGGATGTCTTGAGGTCTTTAAGTCAATTTGGACCTTAGGAAGGATATGAAAGGATTACCTTGGTTAGAGCTATGTCTAGTATTCCTGAAGCCTAGAAAACATTCTAGAGCTTCTGTGCTGTCTAGCTATGCGGCACATAAGCCTTTGTCAGGGCCTTTTAGTGAGAAGCAGTCTCAAGAGGCAAAAGAAATCAGTAATTTGGCTCAGAAAAAGGCATCAGAGAAACAAATTGCTGTTGCATCATGAATGTAATAAGGCAGTTAGGTGGGTGGAAATAATTTTCTTTTGATTATATGCGTGAGGATTGTGTAGCAAATTTGAAGTCCATGCTGCCTTTCCTTGGCCTTCTCCTCCCACTATCCATGTACTTATAACTATGTCTCCAAACTGTCCAGCTGGTGTGTGCTTGGGGGACACTAAGCTAACCTTATATATTAGCCCAGGCAAAATAGAATTAGGGAGAAATTCTTCTGCCAAAAGCGTCACCTGTCAATGTCAAATAGAGATGATTTTTGTGTATCTACTATTTCCTTATTTGCATCAAGACTGACTCATAATTATATTGTACAATTTGACTATACTGCCAAAGATGATAGAAAAAAATCTTTAACTGAAAATTTATTTGTTTCCTCTTTTCCTTTTCTCCAAATTTGGACAGATTCACTTTCACTGAAAGTGAAAGAAAAAAGGCTGGATTTTTATGGAGAAGGCAAGACATATGTCAGCCAGACCAACACCATACCCGAACTCAGCCGACTCACAGTATGTATTGATCTGATATCCATGACTAACAGCTCACATTACTGTATGGCTTTCTTCTATATTACTAATAACACTCTCCTGGGCAGAGAAGATGTAGACCTTGAACTTGAGGGAGACCATCAGCAGCTGATACTGTACAACGTTGGCAATGTATTTTATATCAGTTATCACTTGATTCTATTTCACTGGCATACCACGTGCTTGATATGGGATGGTGTGAAGGGCAGTTTAGAACTCTTCTGGAACAAAGAAAGGATACAACCTGCGTCCTAATGGGACTTTGTCCCTGGGGCAAAATATCTGCTTTACCAGCAGCTTGTGTTACTTTCAGGTCTGGGACCACCTTCTGGAAGATGAGGAGTTTATGACATGTTTATATGGAAATGTAGTTAGTTGGGAAGATGATGTTTGGCTCATCCACAAGATAAGTCCAACTACTGACAAAAGACTGCGCTGCTGTGAGTAACTTATATCTTTTCCCCCTCAGCAAGAATAGAATTGGCACATCACTGCTGTGCTCACAAATAAGGATGAACTTATCCATTCCTAGATCAAGCCTCTGTCTTCCTCCGAGGCATCTAAGGTTCCCACAGTTTTGCTACCTGCTTTTTGACGTAGAGAAAACACAGTTTTCTTTCCCTTTTTATTTTAATATAACCCCGAACTCATAGAAAATGTATAAGAACAACAAAATCCATAAATGGTTTACCCACATTTGTCAGTGGTTAACCCATTTCCATCCACAAGCTTTATCATTCTTCCCGTCTTCATCTCTCTCCCTTATTTTCCTGCTATGCATTCATTCTCTCTATTTTCCCTCTGTCCACTCTCTTTCTCTGCATCTTTGTCTGTCACATACACACATACACACACACACACACCCCATCTTCCTTATTTGTTTTTGAGTCATTTGAGAGTAAGAAGAAGGCATGATTTCTATTTACTACCATTTGTCTCAGTATATGTTCCTGAAGGATAAGAAATTATTTTAACCATGAGCAAAATAAAAAATTTTGACATAGATACAACATTAACATATAATTTCTAGGTGATCCTAAGAATTAGCCAATCATCTTTATAATTTTCTTTGCAGCTATTTTTTTTTTTTTTTTAGTTTGGCTTAATATCTGTTTTACAACCATGCATTACATCTACTTATCAAATCTCTTTACATCACCAGTCTTTTCCTTAAAAACAAAACAAACAAACGAAAAACAAAACTGGATGTTTCTAGTATATAATCTAGTTGTTTTGTAGATCATGCCTTAGTTTGGCTTTGTCTACTCTTTTTTACAACTTGATTCTGACTATGCATTTTTGGTAAGAATATAGCAAAAGTGATGATGTGTTTCCTCATGTCAGTAGAAACATGGGGTTAAATTGTCCCCATATTCATTATGATAAATTTGATCACTTGATTTTGATGTCTGCCAGATTTTGTCACTGGAAATGTGTTGTCCTTTTCTTTTGCAATTATTAATTAATTTCTAGAGAGATGTTTTGTGGCAATGTAAATGTCGGCCTGTTCAACTTTCTTTTTTTATTTTTTCTTTTTCCTTTTTATTATTTTTATTTTTTAAATATATAATTTATTACAATTTATTCAATTTGTATCCCGGCTGTGGTGCCCTCTCTTATCTCCTCCTTATTCACCCTTCCTCCCTCTTCTTCCTCTATGCCCCCCCCTTCAGTCCATTGATAAGTAAGTTCCTCCTCCCCTTCTATTTCACCCTAGCCTATCAGATCTCATTGGGGCTGGTTGCATTGTCTTCTGTAGTCTGGCAAGGCTGCACCCTCAGGGGAAGGTGCTCAGAGAGCCTGTCACTGAGCTCATGCCAGAGAAAGCCCCTGCTCCCCTTACTAGGAAACCCATTTGGAGGCTGAGTCTACAGGCTACATCTGAGCAGGGGTTTTAGGTACTTTCCATGCATTGTCCTTGGTTGGGGTATCTTTAGGAGCCCCAGGGTTCAGGTTTTTTTTTCCTCTGTTAGTCTCCTTTTGGAGCTCCTATCCGCTCCAGGTCTTTCTATCTCCCCCTTCTTTCATAAGATTCCATGCCCTCTGCCCAAAGTTTGGCTATGAGTCTCAGCTTCTGCTTGGATACCTCAATCAGCAGAGTCTTTCAGAGGCCCTCTGTGGATGGCTCCTATCCTGCTCCCTGTCTTCTCCTGCTTCCGATGCCTATCACTTTTGTTCTTCTGAATGAGGATTGAGCATTTACCATAGGGTCTTCCTTGTTGTTTCACTTCTTTAGGAGTATAGAGTTTAGTATGTTTATCCTATATTATATGGCGAATATCCACTTATGTATGAGTATATACCATATGTGTCCTTCTGCTTCTGGGTTACCTCACTCAAGATGATCTTTCTAGTTCCAACATTTGCTTGCAAATTTCATGATTTCCTTGTTTTTAATAGCTGAGTAGTATTCCATTGTGTAAATGTATCACAATTTCTGCATCCATTTCTCTATTGAGGGACATCTAGATTGTTTCCAGCTTCTGGCTATTACAAATAGAGATGCTGTGAACATGGTTGAGCAAATGTCCTTGTTGTGTACTTGAGCATATTTTGGATAAATGCCTAGGAGTGGCAAAGCTGGATCTTGAGAAATCACTATTCCTAATTTTCTGAGAAAGTGTCAGATTGATTTCCAAAGTGGTTGTACAAGTTTACATTCCCACCAGCAATGGAGGAGGGTTTCCTTTCTCCACATCCACTCTAGCATGTGTTGTCATTTGGTTTTTTAATCTTAGTCATTTTGATAGGTGTAAGGTGAAATCTCAAGGTTGTTTTGATTTGCATCTCCTTGATGACTAAGGATGTTAAACATTTCTTTAAGTGTTCCTCTGCCATTTGATATTCCTCTATTAAGATTTCTCTGTCTATCTCTGTAACCCATTTTTTTAAATTGTATTACTTGGTTTGTTGGTGTTTAACTTCTTCAATTCTTTACATATTCTGGATATTAGCCCTCTGTCTGATATAGGATTGATGCAGATCCTTTCCCAATCTGTATGCTGTTGTTTTGTTCTGATGACAGTGCCCTATTCACCAAATGGTGCTGGTCTAACGGGATGTCTACATATGCAAATATATCTATATTTATCATCCTGCCCAAAACTAAAGCCTAAGTGGATCATAGACCTCAACATAAACCCAGACATGCTAAACCTGTTAGAAGAAAAAGTCAGGAAGAGCCTTGGACTCATTGGCACAGGAGACTTCCTGAACAGAACACCAACAGCACAGGCTCTAAGATCGACATCAATAAACGGGACCCCATGAAATTGAAAAGCTTCTGTAAACCTCTCCAACTTTCTTTCAACAGTTTTATATTATATTCATGGCTTTTGCTTAGATCAGTCACAACTATGATGATGGTAAAGTTTCACATTAGCTTATATTTATTCTATTTTAAACATTCTTCCTCTTCTTCCAAATTAGTTAATTCATGTTTATTTGTATAGGCATGAAATTCTGGATTCTAATTTTATTTGCAAGGTTTCCACCTGTTACTATTGTTTATTTTGATATAACAATTACTTTATATTTGGCCAGTGGGAGCCCTTCAATCTTGCTCCTGTGTCCTTTTGACACATTTCATCATTCTTTGCACATTTTCTGGCTTCCTGGCAAAAAAAGATAATTTAGGCTCATTTCATACTTTTTTTTTTTTCTGTTCGGCCAAAGAATCAACTATTTGACAAGGAGTAGTGGTTCCTTTTGGTATGTGTGTGTGTGTGTGTGTGTGTGTGTGTGTGTGATAATTTACTTTTTTGGTGGTATAATGATGTTAATCAAAGTCTTCTTGGCATTATATATGTATATTTATCTTTCTTTCTAGTTTTGGGAAGGAAATATAGGGTAGCTTTTCCATCATGACCAACAGCAGCATCTCTAAAGTACATGTGGTCAGTGACAATATAATTTTTCACATTTCTGGAAATGTTTGTGTTTTGTTATTTTGATTTTGGAGGCCATTTAGGGAAAGAATGGGGGCTGGGTCTAAACTCTGATTGTGGGGATTGTAGGTTGTAGGACTATGCTACCCCCAATAGTTTGGGTGCTAACTGGATTAAAGACAGCAACACATTGCGGTGTGTTTTTGTTGCTTTGAGATGTGCATGGACTGATGTAAAATTCATTTTTTATGATTTTAGCTGAAGACACTCTTGTTGTTGTTTTCCCTGGTGTGTGTGTGTGTGTGTGTGTGTGTGTGTGTGTGTGTGTGTGTGTGT